TCCAAGTACAACTTTTTGATCAATTTCATGGCTGATGCTCTCAAATCTCTTTGCAAACGAAATCATTTCTGGTTTTTTGATTGCTCAAACACGAAGGATGTTGCTTTAGATGAGCGACTGCCGTGGCCAAAACAACCGAGAAACAAATGACAAAGCACTATTGTTGAACTTTGTGATGTATTATGCCTTCTTGAAATGTTTCTCTTGGATCCCTGCTCTAATTAGCTGGTTTACTTGTTCTGTGGCAGAGATCAGTTGTTGTTGTTGGCGCAATACCTGATGATACAAGGACAGTGTCCTCCTCAGAAGAACAACAGCACCAGTCGGTTCAGCAAATGCCGAAAAACAAGCGGCCATACGAATTAGGAAATAGTGTGACGTCGGTAGAGCCGCAAAGTCTGTGGAGGAAGGAGGTTGAGGTGGATGTATGGGTCAACAAAACGTCAATCTTTAACATGTTTCCCCTTTCTTACCAACAGTCAACGTTACTTTCTTCTTGCCTTGTATGTGGTCACTCCCCAATCATAACCTTAAAGTGAAGCTGAAGCATTATTTCAACCCGATTCTTCCCTAACCTTAACAGAACAGAACATTTTGGCCAATACGCTTATTCGCTGTCTTGCAGAGAGTCAGGCAAAAAGATCATACCACTCTCATGTACAAAAAACATAATGCTACAACTAGCAGCTGGTTAGCTTAGCTTAGCTCAAAGACAGGAAACAGGGAATAACAGCTAGCTTTCCCCTACCAGCACGTTACGTATTTGAAAACTATATTTTTAGTTAAAATTTGCTTTACATCTGACAGCAATCAATGTATCAAATGCTCAAAAAAATAATATTTAAGGGCGGGATTGTTTCAGTTGGATACTTTAAACACGTAGCCGTCTCTTGCTACTTTCTCCAACGTTACCTAGCATAGCTTTAAATTCATACAGATGCAAAGTGTGTAAATGACCACTGTGGTTTTACGGGCGGTAATGTGCCAGACTTTTTCTTGGCCAGGAGAAGCGACTTCCTGGAGAAATGCCATCCCTGTGAGGCAGCCTTTTGACAGAGTCTGGCTAGCTATTTACATACAGACATGAGAGTAGTATTCATCCTCTTGTCTAACGCTCAATACGAAAGCAAATAACTGTACTCCCAAAATGTGGGAAGTACGGTTCCACCATACCATACCATATGTTATAATTTTATTAGAAGAAGGCTATAATAGATAATATGTAAAAAACGGACTTTATTGTTCATTTAGGAAACAAGAACTGCCTTCTAAAAGGTTTTCTTAAGGCACTTAAACATTACATTTATACAAAAACCAGTATGTAAATGTTCGGTGAGAACTAAGAAAAATGTTGTGAGGTTTTTCGGCCAAGAGCAGTAATATTATACCCAACAAGAGTCTAGCTTCCAGGCCATTGTGTTTCTCCTTAAACAATCCCATTCCGTGATAGGAGGAAAACACATACAAGAAAGCATACCGTGCAGTCAATTTCCCAATTATGTTTCATTTCCTGTCGAGCCAACACACTTTTACACCGTCATAAATCATAGGAAATATCAGTCACCATAAATCATACACAGAGATTTAAATCAGCTGTTTGTATAATCCAGTGCCTGTATCTCAGATGGGCTAATGTGTGGAAATGTGTGATAATTAAAGCCAGGCGCTCTCTCTGTGGGGAATACTGTTTCCCAATGTCCATTTAACAAAAGTCTACTCAATACCTCCTTCAACTACAGCTCTACTCACTGGGCTTCAGTAGCAGTGATGAAGTTTATTTGTGGGACCAGTTTGATGGCTTTATGATTTTATATGACCAGAACTTTGAAAGATTTTGACAAAGACTGTTTAGCACCATATATATATATTTAACTTTTATTTGAAATGTATAGAGAATTATCTTAGAAGGCATTTGTAGTTTCCTGTTTTTGAGCATTACTGAAATACTTGCTATATAGTGTAATACTGCACTACATTTGTAGCCATGCTAGCAGCACAGCTCTATAGATAATGTTGGTTGGTCCAGATTGAAATATCTCAACTATTGTCATGAAATTTGGTTCAGACATTCATGATCCCCCCAGAGTGAATTGGAACAACATTTTATCCAGCGCCATCATCAGGTCAACCTTTCAATCCTTAGTTTATCACTGTCGATTGAGATATTTCTGGTAAAGTGTAAATGAGCTCATTTTGATATGAAAGGAGGAGTCAGTCATTCTGGAGAAAGATTGTTGATTGTTGAGTCTTATTCCCAGGTCATCACATAACAATGCTATGGGTTATGATAAATGGGAAACAAACCAAGTGGCTTGGAGCAACATAACAGGTGGCGTTCATGCATCAAATATTGTGTGAGACTCAACAACCATCTTTGTCCAGAAGGACTTAGCCCACCTTTAAGACTGAATAATGATATAGCACATCCCACCTTCTAAGGCCTTGCTTCAAGTAAAAATTACAACAGTAACAGTTAATGTTAATGTTTGTTGCAAATTTGTACATTCAAAACTTACGTAGTCTAATGAAGTAATTTTTTAAACACACTAAAAGGAACAATATGTTTTCATGGCTATTTGTTTTAAAGTGGGTCTCAGTCTGGTAAAAAATAACATTGTGAATGCCTCTTATCTGTGACTGGCATTTGTTGCTAAATTTAGGTCTGTCAAGTCTGAGTTCCTTCCCGCATCTGAAAAGAATGAGCTGATTGTTGAACCAAGTCACAAATCACAAGTGCTATAAATCACCGCCTTTGAACAAACATATTTTCCATTTAAATCAAAGATAAACAAAATCTGAAGTTCTCTAGAAGCGATAATAGAAACTGTAGCCACAGTACGACTTAAAATATGTAGTTTTTATTGTGTGTTAATGAGAAAAAAGGGGGTTCTGCAGCTGCAGCGTGACACACTACCTCCTGGACAGTTGGAATAAGTGCTTTCCAAACTCAACTTGTATGCTGAGCACAAATGAGCTGCTCTGGGATTAAAACACAAACTGATCAGTGTTGATATTCCCAAGCTCCTGTCTTCAAAGTCTGTCTTAATACATCCATCCAGACGCTAACAGTGAAATTTCCTCACATGGTCTGCAGTTTGTAATTTGTAATCCAAGATTCCTGCTCTGGAGCTGCAATTTAGCAGCTAAAGTTGTTAAACTCCAGTCCTGCTCAGCCTCTCCCCACCTTCGCCCTGTCAGTTCAGGTTGTGAGGGAGGGGGCAATAACACTGGCATGCCTCAGCTTTGATTAAAGGAAATGCTTACATCACTCCGTCTCCAAAAGAAACAAGCCGTTCGTTTGGCGCAGATGGATCCATCCAATGGTCGAAGAGCTTTACAAGGGGCAGGCAGACAGGTGCGCTCACTGCTAACTGTATGAAACACAGACAGAGCAGTTTTGCTGCTGTTGTATGTGTTACATAGCAACAATAAAGCTGTGGTCGTCTGTACAAAACAGGCCGTGAGGTTGTGTCGAATGGGTCATGACTTTAGGAGTGTTATGGTATGTTTTAAACAGACTGTATCCAGGGCAAAATTAACTTTGCTGTTTGGTTTATGGGCTGTAAAAGGTTCTTAAAAAAAACAAAGGGGCCTGACACAGAGTTGTGGTGTGTTGGGATGAGGCTGCACACAGAGGTGGGACACAAATAAAAAGTCCCAAGTCCTAAACTTTGGGTTTTGAGTCCTAAACCAGTCATAATGCAGGATTCAGAAAATGTAATGCCATTTTAAGAACAGCACAACCGATACAAAATTATCTTTTCCAAGTGGTGCTCAGTAACGTAACATTAGTTCTTCATTGTTCTCTGCTGAAACCTGATTGATGCTGTTGGATTCATTCAATCAAAGTGGATCTTGGGAATAGCGTTAATGTCAGTTGAAGAAATGAAGGAAAATTAGGTGATTTACACTTTTGAATAATTTTCAAGTCAAAAGAGACCACAGTCCAGGGGAAATCAAGGAAACGTTGATGTTTAAAAAGTAAAAAGTCGAGTTGCAAGTATTTTTTTATTATTGTCAAGTCTATAGTCATTACATTTGTGACTCCAAGTCTGATGTCCACACCTCTGGCTGCACATAACTTTATGTTAAATATCATATGTATATATTTATAATCCCTAATGTGAGGCCCTTTGCCCTCCTTTTGAACCACGCTGCGTTCCTAAACGTGGATGCCATGGACAATTTACAGACATCACATGTTTAAAAGTGACTATGAAGAGTTGGGTAGTGCAGCTTTACTTAAGTACTTAAGCTTGTCAACTGTTTATTCGCTCAATATATTCCAAAAACATATTCTATTTTATTCTTTATTCTGTTCTATTTAGTTTATTTTGGCACAATAATTTTACTTGGAAAAGGGAGAAGAGATGGATAAATAGCTGTATTTTATGAATGGAATAAACTAAAATAACACAGAAATTTAGTTGGTTTTAATTTTACCTCTGATATCAATTTACTGTTGTAATTCTTTAAAACCGCCACTGATGTAAAGGGAAAGAAATCGTTCTGTTTAGGCGATGGGAGCTCATTATCTTTTAAATTCAGTAGGAAACAATGTATTGACAATGTTATTCAGTGTTCATTCACTGAATGCATTTTTGTGTGTTTTGACTTCTCGTACATACTCTTGATCACAGTGTATGTTTGCTGCATTTAGGATCTATTTTTGCCTGATTTTGAACATATTTTGTTGCCTGGAATTATACATTTGTTTTGGATTTATATGAACTACATTTTGCACTAAATGTTGGAAGCGTATATCTGTAATGTACACAACTGTTTCCTTTTGTTTTCAACAAACAACTGTAGAAGCAGAAGAGCAGAGGTTTCTGGCACGTCTCCTACCTCCAAGGAACAGTGAGAAGGGAAAAGAGTCAGAAGAGGTCAAAACTCCAACAACACTCGTAGCATAAAGAACGATTTTATTGTTAGACCAACTCGTTTTGGCTTGTAGCATTAATCAGGGTCATCCCTGTTTTCTACAAATAAGGCTGAAATTTTGGGTGAAAACTAAAGATGAAATTCTGGCAAGACACAATAAAGACACCACAAATAGCGTCTGATGGCTTCACATACTGCTGTGTGCTGGTTAGCGCTGTCTTCCTGCTCCTTTTGTTGGTCTTAATCTCTATTCCAACCGCAAATGAATCCACATGCCAACTAACGAGTTTTCCATGGTCATGCATGAGGATAGAGACCAAAAGAAAAAGCATTTTGCTAAATTTTGGTGACAATAATAGTGTTTTTGGAGATCATTAGCATATGAATGGACAACAGACATTGTGTAATATGCCACAAAAGTGGTTTGAGAAGTTTCTAAAAAAATAGCCAAAAGGGAATGGGTAATGATCACCTTAAATGAAATGTAGAAATAATAATATACCTTCAAGTTCCTGGATGCAATTAATTAAAAGACAGTAATTGATAGACATTCCTTTTTAATACCTGTTAACTCATTTCATCACCTGACTTCTTGCAGCAGTTTGTGAAGCCGACCATGGAAACACTTAAAAACCAAATCACACACAGTCATTCTTGGGTTAAATTGCGATTTGGCTTCTGAAAATTGTACAAATTCCTTTGATAGTTTAGTCTACAGAGCCTGGGGGGGCAGAGGTTCACACTGATAGGAGTTTGGAGCTCAGTCAATTAGACATTTTTTATTCAAGAGTAGTTTATGCAACTTTCCCACATTTGGAGCAGGTCAGATTAGCACTTCATCACTGGCCTGTATTTATACATCAGAAATTCTTTACATGCTTCATAAAAAAACGTCTTGGATAAGGCCACAGATTACTCTTCATTGTACATCTGAATGGGCAAAGGCACAATGGCAAATAAGTGCTGGAAAAAGGGCATTTGTGAGTATAATTCACTAATGTTTCAATAGCATTTCTGTTACACGCAAACTTTTTACACCAGGACAAAGATACAAATCTGAAGAGAGAAACAAAAGCAGTACAACTCTATTTGAGTCTAATGTGAGAGCAGTCTTTTTTAAATCTTAAAGTGTCTCTGTTATCTGGTTGTTTTTGGCTTCTTTCAGATGCATCTCTCTCTTCACCACCAACATCAACATTACACAGTGAGTGGGTGTTAAAGAGCATCACCTCCATGAGTTTAGTTTTCTCTGTTTAGTCTTTAGCAGTCTTTGGTATGCAGTCTGATAGTCCACTTGAGTGTGAAGAGTAATGTCTGTTGCATAGCAGTGAGTTCGGTCACAGTCAGCTGAAGTAAGAACTGTTTTTCTCAGTGTTGATCTTCCCATTTTAGGTCTGATCATAATATTAACAAACAATCCTTCCTGAAGGGCAGGCGTTGTCTTTCTTTCCCTGTCTCGCCATTCTTTGCTACCTGCAACCACACGACTCCACCACCATGTCCTCGTACTGCTTGTAGACGACGTTATTGGCCGAGTCGATGTAGAGTATGCTGATTGGGCTGAGTCGTGTCGGGACGCAGCAGGTTGGCGGCGTCGACTCCGGGTCCATGGAGTTCATTAGGGTCTGTATGATGGCGTGGTTGGTCGGTTCGAGGTGCGAGCGGATAGGGAAGTCGCAGACGCCGTCGCAGTGAAAGGCCTCATACTCTAGCGGCGCTATGATCCAGTCGTCCCAACCCATCTCCTTGAAGTTCACATGGAGTCGTCTCCGGTGACACCGCGGTCTCGTCTGTGTCTTCAGCACCTGATGTTGGGGGAGAGACTGCAGCTGTGGCTGATGCTGCAGAGGTTTTTTAGCCCCCCTTGCAGCAGGAGCTCGCCGCATTCGTCGCTGGGTGAACAGGTATTCATAGACAGTTTTGTTATCGTGGCCGGACCGCGCTTTGATCTCGTTGTAGAAAAGGTCACGCTTCTTGCTTTTGCCAAATGCCAGGAAGAAGGCTTTTTCCTTGTTGGTTCTGCCGGGTCGCGCAAACCCCAGAGTGCGCAGGTCCATGGGGCGACCGCCTCTGTGCTCCAGGGCCTCAAGTTCAAAGCACAGCTGCTGGGTGTGCTGGTTCTGCTGGTTTTTGAAGCCCTTGAAGGCCTTCGATATGTCAAACACTTCCCATTTGCTGGTTAATCCGGCTCCACTGAGCAGATCCTCCACGGTCTTCATCTGAAGCAGAACAGCCTGTTGTTTACCTGACGCACAGGTATACAGCTTCAGGCACGGGGACGAGCCTCCTCCACCCCCTCCTCCTCCGTCAGCGGCTGTGGATCCCATTGAGGCTCTGCGGGGGTCAGACAGGCGCTTCCTCAGGATGCGTAGTTCGGCCCCCAGGAGCCCGTCTCGTTCCAGAGAGCTGATGTTGAAGTGATACCTCTGCCGTCTCAGCTGGGGCCCACGCTCATCTGCGAGGGAGGATAGACACAGAAATATGAGTTCAAACTGACAGAAAGGCGATTACACACCCCGAAGAGAACAAAAGTAAAATTACTTACAGACACATAAAAAACGCAGGTGCTAACATGACAGGAAGAAGGTTCAAAGGCATAAACTCATGCACACACAGACATACACGAAGGCAGTTGAACACTAGAGCTGCAAAGATTAAATGATTAATCAATCCAGAGAAATTTAACTTTGGCTCAAATAATCATTTTAAAGTTAATTACTTGCTGGTTCCAGATTCTCAGACGTGTGGACATCATAGTAAACTTTGTGTTCGGGCTTTGGAGATTTTAAAACATCACCTTGGACTGTGGTTAATCATAATGGGTATTCTTCACTGTTTTCTGACATTCTATAGACAAAATGATTAATCGGTTAATGAAATGTGTATATATATATATATATATATATATTCAAAGCTGTGAGGGGACATTTCTTTAGAGCATGCTTCTGCAGGTACTAATAATACACACACACACAGTGGGCACACACGCACATGAGCACAGACACATCAGGAGGAATGAACTGAATGGTGCGGTGTGTAATGTTTTCTTTTGTTGTCAGTGAGGGAAACCAGCGAACTTCCATGTCCAAATGAAATCCAGCAATGAAATCCACTAAAGTGCACACACACACACACCAGCAGCAGATCTCTCCACTCTGCTCACTTCTTCTCACGTCATTCCCCCTCCTTCCTATCCAGGACTTTAGCATGCATTGAAAAGTACATTAGAACCAGACAGGGAGACCACATTGGACTGTAAACAGGCCTGTTATTATGGACCTGCAGCTATTCACTGCCGATAGACAGTTAACCAGCATCTGCTGTAGAGGAAACAAACCATCGACAACACACACGCACACACACACACACACACACACACAAATCCTGGCACCTCTCTGCGGAAGATCTGATTAGTAAGTTCAAACTGAGAGGAGTTTGAACTGTCACGTACATTTAAAACAGTCATCTCACACACTGTTTTGTGTGAGATGTAAGTTTAGATGAACTCTCAGGTGTGATCACCTCAGTCCGTGCTTTGAAGTAAAACTGAAATTAAAATGTATTTTTGTTATGTGATCATACACATAGCAGTTTATTAGCTACACCTGGCTAAAACTGATGCACACTAATAGAATGGTTCCCAACCTGGGGGTCCTGACTCCCACTAGGGGTTGCCAAAGCTTCACGGGAGGTTGC